TGTTCGTTTATATATGGGATCGGATTTCCCACATTTTTCAACCGATTTCAACAAAACTACACTTTTTTTTTTGCACACTTTTTACTTTATTTTTACATTCAGAATGCTTTAAAAATTCCATTTACAAGACAATTGTTTATAATAAAATTCTATTCAATCGATAGACTCATAACGATTGAAAACAATGTTTTTGTTTGAGTTTGGGTTTGACCAATTCGTAAAAAAAAAAAAAAACAAAAAAAAAATTAATTAAGACATGCGTGTCCGTCAACCTTAAACAATAATCTTTGTCAATTTTATTTTTCAGTCTTTATGATGGTCGATACTTGATCTATCTCTTACTGTTACATCCCCGGGCAACGCCGGGGTCTATTGCTAGTCAATACTAAGCTTACATTAGATTGAAAGAAGTGTACTATTATAAAGCAATCATAGGGGATCGAACTTACTATTTGGTCGGAATAGTCAACTAAATAAACTTGCTAACCATTATTTCTCAGCGAGGCCCCCGTCTGCCATACAATATTTATTATATTTAGTGAATAGCAAAGCCATCCTAAGGGAGTCGTTGACCCTACAATGATGTATTATCGGCGGGTGCAATGTATGATAGGCAGATGACATTGTGTTGATAGCAGACCTAGTAAAGTAAAGTGAGAAGAAAGGACTAATCCTCAATTGTAAAATGAGTGAGTATAGGTTGTCAGCAAGAGAAAATTTCCAAGACGAATATGAGACGTCAACATCAGACGATTGAAGAAGTTTAAATAACTTGGAAATATTATAACACAGGCTGTGTCACCCCGAAATCAAACTTCGTATTGGTCTAGATCAAAGGTCGTCAAAGCACCTTTTAATTTCTCTTCCTCCCCCAGTGACCCCGCCCTATTTAAAATATCTTTGGATCTTAAAACTCGCATTAATGTTGCCATTTAAAATGTTAAATAAAATGTATGAAAATTTTAGAAATTTCGATCAGGTTCAAAATCTTCGCCCCGGATCATCACGTTCAGAAAATATATTAACTAACCCTAATGCATAAACCAAATATATATTAAACACCAAACGTAATGTTGTTGAACAGAAATGCATACTAATACCCAAGTAATAATGTATTGTTTGCAAAGATGGTTAAAATGTTCTTGCAGATGAAGAGATGACTAGAGGCAACAGAAATATGGTTCTACAGAAGGATAATGCGAATAACATGGACGAGCTTTGAAACAACGAGGAAAGTAAGGAAAATGGAAACAAAGAAGGTACTTATATTAATCAGGTAGGTGGCCGGCTGCTTTCTTTTCTCTTCTTTGCCCTCAATATCCACGCTAAGTGTAGAATTTCCCAAGCCCTTCTTCCTAGTTGTAAGTCCCAGATGTTTCAGCTTTTTTTCCTGATTCTACAAGTGTCGTTTCTGTTTGTTTCTTTATATAAGCGTCGGTTTTGTTATTTGCCGTAAGACATTTTCGATGCTAATGCTCTCCGCCTATGGACTTCGAGGTATCCTTCTGTAGACCGATATTTGCTTCTAATCTTTTCTTCATCTGTCAGGAGATCGTCCTGCATTCACTGCCATACAAGAGGAACGATTCAGCTCCCTTTTCCTTAAATGTCCCGTTTCTTAATACTTCGTCTAGTTTTTCGAAAGCCTCCTCTTCTAATCTCGAAGGAGAATGAGGAAAATAGTACGTGAATACTTTGTCTGGGACAAGGTCAAATATGGTGAGTGGTAATTATTCTTCTATAGTTCCTTCTTACTTTTCTGATCGATACGAACACTGCATACTCAACGCTAGTAGCTTTTGGCCCAAATAAACTGAACGTGTTATATAATTATATAGCTATCCTGAAACGTGAAGTCTCGTTTTTACCGATTTACGCAGATTATGATTATTAAGTGGGAAATTTGACCCTCACCGACAGCGCAACAATTTTCATATCGCACAAAACTAAACTAAGCATAGAAAATACTTGTGAATCATCGTGGTGCAATGGTTGATGCTCTGACTTCGCAGATGTCTACAAACGGTTATCCGCGCGGAATTTGGAATCGATTTGAAATTCCAGCCTATATTGCATTCACTTTCACACCATTGCCATTTTAAATGGGGTGTATATATCTGTTCTTTAGTCTGTCTCTTCCCTCCAGGGTAGGGCTATCAATGTGAGAAAATAACTTATTCTGTAAATAGTCTGGCCTGTTTTGTAATGTCTGTTCTGGCTTGCTCGTGGGTTTTCAGGTGACAGGAAGAGACTAGAGTAGTTTCGGTGAGTTTTCAGGCATACACAGCATGTTAAATTATTTTCCAGAGTAGCAGATTATATGCAATCTACTATTTCAAAACTTATTTTCGCATGGGTTGGAGGCTATTCTGACTTAGAGAACTGGTGCAACACAAGCGCCTAACAATATTTTGTAAATATTTATAGTCTGGATTTCCGAAATGTTCCTTTGTTTGAAATATTATTTTGCATCGTTTTATTGTTGATGATTATTTCCCACTGGAAGGTAATATTTTAATCTCATATCATTCAGTCTATTAAATCTTTGTATATGTTGTTATTAGCGAATTATTTCGATTAACCCATTAGTTTAAAACTGAGCGGTTCAGAGTTCCCAGAACAAGGGTAAGAGAGACTAGTTTGTAGCATTCTCAGTCACCTTGTTTGCTATATTTGTGTCATTTGGTATGGCAACTTCAAAAGTTTGAGAGTTCTTGGTGTCTTTATCCAGCACAGTAACACCGAGAGAGCGATAGTATTGTTATGAATAATCAAGAGTGGTCTCCCTTTGTTTTGTTACTCTCCGCTTTGAGATAGGTATTTCTGTTTACTGGAACTATAAAAGGACACTATACGCGAATCTTGTATTCTCAGTTGAATAAAACTTTCTTAAAGCTTACACCTGCGTACTTTTGCCATTACAAGTGTATCAGCCCATATGCCAGAAAAATATGTTCCCAACATATTGTGGGATTTTCAACTTCATCAAATGTTATGCAAAACATCAGCTCGTACCAGTTTTCTGCAACTTATTATCTATGATTGCGGCTCCCAAACCAATATACATAATCTGGTAGCAAATTCTCTGATCGGCAGATTGGATATTTTGAAGAGCGTAGAACCATGTTATAATTGCTATTGTTCCCGGGTACACTTTGACTCAACGTTGGAAACACTCATTAAGGTTCCAGCTATGGGGAAATAGTGAAACCCCAAACACGATGAAAGTATAAATATACATTTTTATACTAAAAATACCATCAATACATTTTTATATAAATTACCAACGATATATATTTATTTTAAAATGACCAACAATACATTTTATAGGAGAATTACCAACAATAAATACTATAGCAAAATGACTATATTTTATCTGTAATTGAAGCCACACAACTCGATTTTACTAAAAAAAAAAATCACATCACGCCGATAATAAAATCGACCTTACAGTAGAAATTTTCCAAGCGTAGCTTAGATGTGGCACAAGGCAGAAAGTATGGAGCACCCAGTGAGGATCAGAACTCACTACTCAGTCGTAATAGTTCCAGCGAGACAAGCTTTGCTAACCATTACACCGCCTCGAGGAGCCCAAATCGGCGTTGCCGTATTACAATATCTACAGACGTTTTTTGAAATCCTCTCCTGAAGCGTGGATACATTTTTGTCGGATTCTGTATAAACAAATGTCGCTTATAATTCAACATCAAGCGAAACGCCGCAGATGCGTTGAGGCTTAAATTTCAAATTTAATTTTATGAAGTCCGATATATTCAGATGTAGAGCCTAGCCAACTGCATTGACTTTCTTAACGGTTTTGACTTGATTTTTACTGCATTCTTTCTACCTTTTTTTTTTAAAAAAAACAAAAAAAAACAAAAACATTTCACCCATGCACTAAATTAGCGCCACTGAGACACAAGTGGTTAGTGAGCGTGAAAGAATAAGTAAAAAAGAGAAACATTGTCAAGGAGCGTGAACAACAAAAGAATTGTAATAAAAGAAGACAATAGATTACAATTGGCATTATATTTAAATTTTTGAAGATCAAAGTTAGCTGGAAAAGCATGGAGCTGGATGAGAATTCCACAAGCGGGAAGTGCAAGAAAAGAAACTTTTACCATAGAAGTTATGGTTCCAACCGGTTCTAATGTTTGAGATGCTAAAGTTCCAAATTCAAATTTTAGAGAAGTTTTGTGAACTATATAAAAAGAAAGTGAAAAAGATCAGTATTACGATTTTACATAATGTGAAACCATTTTATCAAGTAAGAATTTGGCACTCCCACACTGAAAAATGTATTGCGAATAGTGCAAAGTTTATAGTTTCAAGAAATGGAATCGGTGACCAATGTTGAATTTGCAAGAGAGAACTATACATTCACTTCACACTATTAATCTTATCAACCTTTTACAGGTTGATTAAAGCCAGAAATTATTTCTGAATTGGCTTACGGCAATATCGCGTTAACAAAAAAAAAACAACAAAAAACAAAACCGTTCCCGTCCGTTTTGAGTATGACGATAAACAACATCCGCGTCCTGGGTAAGACGATAAACTACGTCCAGCAGCAGGGCCACTGATCAGGTGGTTTTGAGAAGCGTGGAACCAAATCTTAATTGCTGCTGTTCCCAGGTCCACCTTGACCCGAGGTGGTAGCACCTGTTAGGCTCCCAGCTATGGACAAATAGTTAACCCCCAAAACTGGGGTCAAAACACTATGAAAGTGTGAAAATAGATTTTAATACCAGAAATACTTTGTAAAAACTTATTACCAACAATACATTATTACCATCAATACATTATTTTGAAAAAAATAAATATTACCAGCAATACATATTTGAAGAAAAATATTACTAGAAATAGATTTTTGAAGAAAAAAATATTACCAGCAATACGTTTTTGAAAAAAAAAATATTACCAGCAATGAAAATTTTGTTGGCATTAAATAACCCATTGAGGTTGATATACCGTAAAACAAGCCAAACCAAACCAAACAGTTTCCGGTACGATCACCGAAGTTAAGCAAGGTCGGGCGTAGTCAGTACCTAGATGGGTAACCGCTTGGTAATACTAAGTGTTGTAAGCTTGGATTTTATAGGTGGGGGGATAATGGATAATGGCTCGGAATTGTTAATCGGAGAGTCGAGTTCTAGTTTCAGTTGGATTCATTATATTCACTTACAAGCAAATACTCATGGGAAAGGCATGGATTTACCTCGCCTCCCTCTAGATATGGGTTAATTAGTAAGACTTCTATCACTAACTCATTATTATATCCCCCCAAAAAAAGAAAGCCATACAAATCTAAAATAGTTTTAGATTTAAATGGGATGACAAACCGTAAAAACGAATCAGTGAACCGATAAAACATTTTTCAAGATAGTAATGATTTACTGATACATGTCCTGCTATTTAACACATTGCTGGGTGATGAAGAGATGGATTCGTAGCTTTCCCAAAGGTATTTGCGCGTATGGGAAGAGAAGAAACCTGATTTCGATTATCAATTTTGAGACGTTATCCATTAGCAGCACATCCATGCTTACAACGTCCTGGGTATGACGATAAACTACATCCGCGTCCTGGGTATGACGATAAACTACGTCCAACAGCAAGGCCTCTGATAATGTTTTTGAAAGAATAATGTTGCTAGCTATATGTTTTTGAAACAAATAATGTTGCCAGCTATACGTTTAATAGTATATTTTTATATATATATATATATATATATATATATATATATATATATATATATATATTGTTATCTCAAATAACAACTTAAAAGAGACTGTTTGACCAACACAAGGAATGATAAAAGATTCATTTTAAAAGATAAAAATAAAAAAAAACAAATGAAAACTACAGACAAAAGTTCATTTTCTCCATCAAGACATTCATTTCTGTAGTTTACGGCTACCAGCAAGCAGAAATATTTCTTTTCCTGATGATGGCCATGTTGACCGAAACTAGTCAAGGAATCTAAATGAAATAATAATAAAAAAAAACGAAAGAATATTAATCTACACCTCAGTGTGTCTGAAGATTTTTATTTTTTAATATTTTTTATTGTTCAATATATATATATATATATATATATATATATATATATATATATATATATATAGATACACCTAGTGAGCCAGAAAAAACCTACCTAGGTTTCACCTAAACGGATCGTCAGGGAAAGTCTGCTCTACGGTTGTATTGAGCTCTTTTGTTAGTTAGTTGTTACTCGTATCGGGGGTTTTTCTTTGAGCTTCAGACCTGCATCTGTGCGATTTTTTTGTCGGCAGAAGTTCATGTTTGTAGCTCTTTCTTTTTTAAAACCTTTTTTTCCTCGAGATTGATTTGATTAGCAAATCAAAAATTCGAGGGTTTTTCGAAACGAGTCTAGTTATCTATATATATATATATATATATATATATATATAAACTAAATTTTGCATTAGATGACCTACAGTGGCTGATATGGCATAAAACCCAACCAACCATGTTTTCAATAGCTGGTATTCCCAAGCGGTTACCCCTCGAAATACTGACCAGGCTCGACGTTGCTTAACTTCGGTGATCGATAGAATTGCAGGAAGCTATAGAGAAACATGATCGTCTACGTCCTGAATATACATGGGTTGTTTTGAAGGAAATAACCTTTATTTAAAAACAAAAAAAAATATATATCTCTGTTCCATCCCAGTCCTTCACCATCTCTAAGTTTGCATTCTCTCCCAAAGGTTAACTACGACTGATAACGTTAGCGCATTGTCATTTTCATTGGCGCACCCCTGTCGCTATGTAAGGCGGGAAGAAGAGGTGGCTGAACAAATTCGATTGTCTTCCGCCATCACGACAACTTTTTTTTTTTTTTTTTTACTTTCGACTACCGCTTGTTACATTATTATGAGTAAATTTGATGAGAATAACAAAGTCGGTGAAAAGTAGTTTGTTTTGTGTCCCGTGACAATAGATAGCGTCAGCAATGGCAAAATAAAATGGAAGGAAACGGAATTCTAAAGAAAACACACACACACATACACGCACAAAAGAAACGTTTTTTGGCTGGGAACTTTTTTGACGAAGATAACGAAATATTATTCACGTTTTTTCCTTTCATGGTTTAGTTTTAGGGCCTTATAGATGAAAAGGAGGACTGTTTAGAACTATATATATATATATATATATATATATATATATATATATATATATATATATAAACACATATATATATATATATAAGCCTGCCTTTAATTTTATATTTACTACACTTCTGCTATTACTCTTTGTCTCTCACCCTCTTACGACCCTATATATATATATATATATATATATATATATATGTATATATATATATACATGAAAAATCTTTTTTTTTTGTTGTACTTATTTTTACCTCAATGAATTCATTTATTCTTTCATTCATATATATATATATATATATATATATATATATATATATAAAGAAATATAGTTTTTAAGTTGTGCTATATTTTGGGATAAAGTGCTCAATATCAGAGATAGAGCGTGTGTAAATATAAAGTGAACATAAAGTCAACACTTACTTAATCGTCTGTTTCACGACGATTGCAATAGTCATGAAACAGACTGTCGACTAAGTGTTGACTTATATGTTCACTTATATATATATATTTATATATATATATATATATATATATATATATATATATATAAATTAGATTTGCAAAAATAATGACGTAATAATGTCGTTTTTTGACGTTAAAAATACGTCAAAAAACGACATTATTATGTCATTATTTTTTGCACTAAATAATATATATATATATATATATATATATATATATATATATATATATATATATATATATATATATATATATATATATATATATATCGATTGAAGATGGAACAGAGCTTACTTTTAACTCAATTTAATTCAAATAATTATATTGAAGTTTTCGGCTCTTGTTTTGTAACATGAGACCTCTTATGTCACGAGTTGGAATCATATTTTTAAATCAATAATATATATATATATATATATATATATATATATATATATATATATATATATATATGTATGTATATACGCACGCACACACACCTACAGAGGGTGAGAATGTTAAATGTCACCATTTTAAATTTTTTAATTCGCGCATGTGCGTTGTTTGTTTCGCATTTTATCGACCGCAAGTATAGTAGGGTCGGTTAGGCCCCATCTTTGACAAAAAGAACAAAATAACCCAATTCACTTCAAAAGAAATTTGGAAAACGGCATACTCTACTGTTTGACATTGGCACCAGAAGCTGCAATATGACCATTTCAGAATGTTTGCGTGTCAAAATGAAGATAGTGCAGCGGATTCAGAAAGAGTTGGATGAGTCTAATGGTGATTATGAATATGTTTGGAGTCATTACTAGCGATGGCGACACTATACCTCCATTCATCATTCTACAGGGCCTCAGACTCAACACGGGGGCTTACATCAATTGCCTTCAGGAAGTAGTATTGCCTTGGGTTAAGAGGGTGGCTGGTGGAAGTCACTATATCTGCAACATGCCACACAAGCAAGAGAACCCAATAATGCCTGTCAGACAATTTCTTCGACCAAATCAACCTTTACACTGGGCCACCTAACTCCCTTATATGTTATGCGTGGGGTACAGTTGTTACACCAAACATGAACTGAAGGCAATTTACCAACGTAAACACGGTGGCCGTCCAGGAGAGTTGCTGGAGATTCCGAAGTCCTCGGCAGGCCGTGGTTGAAGCGAATGCCGATTTTATTGGATAAATGTACTGTTTTTTTATTTCAAGACATTTTGTGTAATTTTGGTAAATATATCTCTGACAATGAGATATCAGTGTTATTTTAATTTTTGCGTAATTTAAACGACAATTCATCCATCGCAACCTGTGTATATATATATATATATATATATATATATATATATATATGTGTGTGTGTGTGTGTGTGTGTGTGTGTGCGTGTGTCTAACCACTCCTTATTACCCTATCTGTTAAATTACAAAACTTACACTACCAATCAATTTTCATTTCATTTTTCGTTTCATCTTTTGGAAGTGCTATCTGATGATCCGGTGTCCTTTAAAGGGCTCTGGTGAAATAAATTATTATAATGGAACCTTAAAAGTGGTCTATTTTTATTTTTATATATATATATATATATATATATATATATATATATATATATATATATATGTAAAAAAAGGCTTAAACACTAATATTCCATGGTCATAATTTATTCCATTGGAATCGTAAAATACGAACCAATTCATCAGATCTACAAATTAAAAAAAATACAAAAAAAAACATATATATATATATATATATGTAATGACAAAAAATTAGTTTTATGTTATGCTATATTTATGGGTGAAAGTGCTCAATATCAGAGGGCGTATGTAAATATAAAAGTAGACACTAACGTCAACACCAAGTCGCGAGAGAAAAAATATATACGAATATACATATCTATCTGAATGAAAAAAGGAAAAAATCCTCCGTGACGCGTTTCGTCCTTCCAAAAAGCCTTCTTTGGAATAATAATTGTTTTATTGATTGAATCATATATATGTAAGGGAAAGAAACCAATATAGAGATTATACATAATTCAGGAAAGGAAAAAAAATACTTGTCTTTCGTAGTTTTATCCAATTGCCATAACAATATTTACAGTAGAATGTTGTACATAGCAGCAGACCGACTACATTGGCGACCCTTAGACAAGAAATTAAAAAAGGCATATACTGCAATCCCACTGGACACTTTGGCCAACGTTTTCGAAGCAGTAGTCCGCTGTACTAATAAAGGTCTGGAAGCTAAAGGCTACCATTTTGAGTATCACTTGTGATAATAGACTCCAAATGTAACTTGTATTAATCTCGTAATTTCTGAATAAATTTAGTATTATAATATCTATACAAGTTTTTTTTTTCCTTTCTGGGAGTGTGTATACATTTTCTAGTGGATTCTCTATAAACAAATGTCGCTTATAATTAAATATCAAGAGAAACGCTGCAGATATAGGTCCGCTTAAATTTCAAATTTAATTTTCTGACGTCAGATGTATTTAGATGTTGAGCCTA